TCCACAAGATCTGAAACATCATTGATCTCAGTTTGATTCCTTTCGGAATCAACCATCATCAATCGATGATCCTTCTTCTTCCACTCTTGCGGAGCCTTCTTCTTTCTCCCGTCCGTAGGGGGGCGGTTGAGCACCACCCAGCATAGCCTCTAAGTCTAGGGCCTTCTTGTTGAAGGTCTTAAAGGTGTGATACTCTAATCGAGCCTCGCTGGCCAATAAGTTCTTGATGTCTGTGGGAAGACAACTCAAGAACATGGTCAATAAGACCTGCGGATTGTACTCCACCTTTGGGACGACAATCAAACGCTCTACAGTTGTGGTAAGCTCTCGCACCGACTTGTACTTTCTAGCATCAAGCTTTAATAACCCATCAGTGGCAATCTGTGCCTGCTGAGGGTTGTGCCAACGTGCTTCCACTAGGTCCATAAAGCTTTCTAAGGTGTGAGTCCGAGCCCAATCACCCATGTTCCTGTTGAACCCCTTTGAGGCAACCAATCCGTTCAACTAGCGAGCTATTGATAAGTAGGATGCACCAATTATCACCTCCTCCTCTACCAATGTCATCTTTGCCCTCACCCACACTGGCACCGTTCTCAACCACGTATTGAGAGCCTCGTCCTCCTTATTTCCTGAGAAGGTTGGGGGTGGTTTCACGGGGGCCTTGGGGTACCAAGGCAATTGCTGTCCCGCTGGCGGGACATGTGGCGGTTGTGGTGTAGCTCCAGCCGCTGGACCAGAAGATGAAGAAGCAACGGTCTGAGATAGAGTTGTTGCTGAAGTACCGCTTGGTGGTGGTCCGGACTGAGGGGCATAGGGGCCTGTCATCCCTGAGAATGGCAACGATGGCAAAGCTGCTGGCCGGATTCCTGGCCTGTGCATGGCATTCAGGATCTGGTCCAGGGTGTCCTGGATAGCGTCCAACTTGCTGTCCATGTATGCATGCAGGGACATGATGCTTGCCTTGAAGACGTTTGTTGTGTTGTCAAGGCCCGAGTCATCTAACCCCTCTAATGCAGCTTTGCCTGCCTCCCTACCCTCTAGTCCGACTTTTCTATCTCTAATCTCTTTCTCTATTTTAGTAGCTTGTTTAAGTTCCTCCCCTAGCCTCAAGCGGATCCTCTCAACTTGCTGGAGCTCCATCTGC